CAGAGGCCGTTGGCCGAGCGCACGGAGGCGCCCGGGCAAAGCACCGGCCGGAGCGGCCCGCAGCGGGCCGAGAGACGCGAGAACGGCCCGGGCTGGCCCCTTCCAGGAGCCGTAGCAGAGGCAGGTTCGTGGTCATGTGACCCGGGGAAGGGCGGACGTGAGGCTCACGCACAGGGCGAGGACCGCGCGACGTCAACACGGAGACATCTTTGATGTGGGCAAAGAGCTCCCGGCGTTGATAACACTTTCTGCTGAGCCTGCGTTTGCTTCGCCGTTAAACTTAGCAGATTTTATGATCTCCAGGAACCTCGACTTTACAAGGAAAACCTTCGCTGGCCAGTTAGAATTACTGTTCTTAGGATTAGCCTCATTAAAAGCTCTTTGCTTTGGGGCCTAAGAAGCTGCAGATTTCACCCTCACGGAAGTGAATCTTAAACACGCCAATTTTGAACATTTTCCACCCCTTTGCCAGGGATCTTTCTCCTGGAGATGCTCTCTGCATCTAACCACTTAACAAGTAACTTTCCACAGCAAAATCCATGTTCACCACTGGGCCAGGATGAAGCCACATCACGAATACTTTGTACTCCTGGACATTAACAGCCAAAAAGACATGTACACAAGCATGTATGTCCCCAGAATCTGAAGGTATTTCTGCGATATTACTGTAACTCAAAATAATTTGAGAAGCCCTCTCAGAATTGCTTCCTCGGACCCTTCCTAATAATCTTTTGAGTTTTAGGAATGACCAGCCATTAGGTTTTGGGGGCGAGGAAGACCAAGCTGGCTGGGTCACCTGTGACCCAGGCCTGTAGAATGAGCCTTCCTGGTTCCACTAGCATCCTTCCACCTCTTAATTACTTACGATTTTCTCCCCCACCACATACCAATAAAATAAAAAGAATTGAACTTTCAAATAAAGATTGTGATCCAATTACCAAATCCAAGATCCAAGTCTTATCCTGGTCCACCACAATCTTCCTGAATCATTTAATTCTGTTAAATAAGACCTAACACTGCCTTGTAGTAGATTCTTTTTTTTTTTTTTTTAAGGTTTATTTATGCATACTGAACTGGGGTGCAGGCCAGAGGTGCAGGTGGTGAGAGGCTTCACCAGAGACAGAGTGGGGAGCAGAACAGGCAGATAGACGAAATACACAGCTGAGGGGAGCAGCGGACAGGCCAGGAGAGGTCTGCCTTGCTATGTGGTCACCTCAGGGGCAGGCAGGGATCGAACTCATGAGGAAGTGGCTTTAGCCTCCCAGTGCTGTGCTTTAACGCCCTGTGCCACCAGGGAGGGCCTGTAGTAGATTCTTAAGTAAAAACATTTTCTCTCCCTTCCTTGGAAACTCTTTTTTTTTTTGAGATAATGTTCCAGGGCAACCCCAGTGTGAAATGGTTGATGTGACTCTCGGTCCTCACCCCCAGGCTTAAAAGGGACTTATAATGAGACTCAGCTTCAGGCACACACAAAAAGGATAATAAAGGGTTTATTTACAAAAAGGGGAAATGATAAAGGAGGGACTCAGGTAAGAGAGAGGTAAATTGGTAACTGCATCTTACCAGTTCTGCTGAACTGGGACCCCAATAGCACGCTGAAAGTTGGTGGAAAAAATCAAAGGACCCCCAAGGCCCATATGTCTGGTTATACTAAACCTGGCTCCTTGACTCCACCCTCAGTTCCCAGCATCCTCCCTTCAGTGGTGATGACATTAAGTGATTTGTAGTCCTGGTGTTTCTGATCTCTCTGGTCTGGGGTGGGACTGGGGTGCATAAAACCTGTTTGTGGAGTTTGCTCAGGACGTCCTCTTCCCTAGCAATACTACTTCATGCTGGGTCTTCCATCTCTTTTATCATGAGCATATCTGTTCCTCTTTCAGATCCAATCCAGCATTGAAGATTTTTACACCCCAGTTGCTATAAATCTTTTGTGGGAAAGATGACATATAAATCTAACATTAACACACTCATTTCATCTCATCCTGTTGCACCATCAGTGCTTTGATCCCCGCAGGGTTCACACTCACATTTTCTTCCTCTTCCCAATCTAGATCTGTTTGCTGAATTTCCTTTTTCATTTACTGGAAAGACTACTTTTCCAGTGGCCAAGCTTCAAAATTATGAACTCACCCTTCACTGTCTCTCAAGTCTCCCATCCTTTAGATTCTCTTTCATCAATAGCAACTGTCCATTTTCTGTGGCATTTGTATTTCCACCGCTAGACCACTACTCATCAGTTAAGTGGTTGCCCAGTTAAATGGTCTCCCATCTTTTCAGTCTTTTTGTTTTTCCTAATTCTTCTTATATGTTGGACCCAAATCATAAGAGCTATTTTTATAATTTATGACATTATATACCATCAAACTGGGTCTTTTGCTTGCAATCAAAAAGCCAAACTCTGAACCATGAGAAGTGTCTTTACAGAGAGGTACTTTTTATACAAGATGGTCACTAAGGGAGCCAGCAATTGGGTTGGCATCCTAAGCCCTTTGCCCTAATGTCTGGAGGACACAGGGAAGCACAGCAGTTCCAGAAGGTGCCAGACAGTCAAGGGGATGTAAATAAAGATGTTTGACTTTCCCAGCAGGGTGTTTTCTCAGCAATCAGGAGGTGTCTGATGCCACTATCAACCTCAGAGGGACACAGAGAATTTCATTAGGGGTATAACACAATTAATTTTCCAAGGCCCCAGGAATGCAGTTGTACCAATTAACAGTTAATCAGGAGGAGAGGGTAGGGAGAAGAGAGAACAAAGGGTAGAGTTTATGCCACTTACTCTAATATTTAGTCTAGGGGAATTTCTTTTTGTTGCAAAATAGAAAAAAGATATGGTTACGACAGCCAACATTTGAAGCCCCAGTTCAAAAAATAAATTGATGATTTATAGTTCTCCATAAATCCAGAAGTTCATAACAAATCACTTAGTTTTTAAAAAATAGTTGAAGTTACGCAATGGCCTGGCAAGGGAAGTAGATTAAATACTAGCTCTTCGAGGTTACTGTTTATTTGATCATTATACTCTTGCTCAAATCTTCATGCATGTTCACTCTGGTATTCTACATGGTAGCTAATATGACCTTAGCATCCTACAATGCCACTTTTCCACTATGTGTGATATATATATATATATA